CAAGGGGCTCCCAGTCTGGGCAGGGAAACGGCACCGGTCCCCTCCCCGCTCCTCCTCTGCCTTCCCCGGGTACCCTAGGCGGGTTCGGTGCAGCTTCCCACGCCCTTGGACAGCAGCGGGTCAAGGTGGCACGGACAGCCTGACCACGGCTTTCTCTCCTCTTCCTGGGGACAGCAGCTCCTGCTCTCCCCCGGAGCCTGAGGGACGCCCTTCCCAGGGAGATCCAGCCCGGGAGAAACTTGAGAGCAGGTGGTGCGAATAAGAAACCCTTCGGGGGGGGGTGGGGGTGGATTGTTTTAAGACAAGACTCTTTCAAGCAAGCAGGAGAACAAAAGATGTTGAAAGAAGCGCCCAGCATCACAGTGTAGACGAGCTCCCTGCCGGAGCCCTGCCCAGCCCTGCCTGCTTCCCTGCCCGGCGGCAGCCAGCACATCCGCTTCACCCTCCGTGCTTTCCGAAGCCGGGAATGTGGCCCCACGCCCGGGCAGCTCTCAGCGGGCGCGGGGATGGATACATCCAACGTAGACGCCGACAGGGCTGGCGGCCAAGTGCCAGCGGCTTAAATTAAAAATCGAGGTAGCGAACATCTGAAGTGCTTAGAAAGTAAATAAGTTCTGGAACGAAAGAGGAGGAAAGCCGAGCCGGCTGCTGCGGGGCGCAGGCTCTGACCCAGTTTAAAGCTGTGCCCGCCGCCCCACGGCCAGTCTTCCTCCGCCCACCCAGTTTGGGGGCAGCCGAGCAGGGAGGCAGTGGCTCCCAGCGCTGGGGAGGCGCAGCACGGGTCAGGCCTTTCCCCGGCCCTGCAGTGGCTGGCTCGGCGCCCTGGGGCCCACACGCAGGGGTGAGAGGTTTTTTGGTGCTGCCAAAGTGACCCCGACCTTCTCAAGTGGGAGGAAAGAGGAGAAAAAGAGCAGGACCTTCCGTGACGGAGCAGAAAGCCTCCCTTTAAAGTGCATTGCGTTTCTCCTCCTGCCGCCAGCTGGGACGCGGGAGGAACCGTAGCTCACATCGCCAGGGAGATTTCCAAGCCAGGGCAGGCACACCGATTGATTGTTTTCGGGGGACAAGGAGGGAAGAGATGATTTCCTTCCTGCTCGGCTCTGTCAAGGCCCACCCCACCAGGAGGTATGTTCAAGACAGGAGCCGGGGACGAGGACCTTACAAGGAGACGCCTCGCCCAGTAGCCTGGCGCCGCAGCAGGCGAGGGACGGTGCTCGGCAGGAGCCAGCTTGCTAACAAGGGAGGCAAGTCCGCTGCAGAGCTAGGGACCTTGCTGCCACCAGCAGCGGCCACGGACTGCAGAGATCTCCTGCAGGCAGAGGGATGGCAGGCAGCTGCGAAGCCAACCTCCCCAGAGCCGGCATAAGCAGGGAAACGCACCAGGGGAAGAGACCGAGGTCCAAGATAGCGGCATCTGATCTCCATCCCCTTGTCAAGAGGAGCAAAGCAGCCAGCTGAATGTGCTTCAAGATTGACACACCCCCCTCAGCCTGCCCCATTTATCCTCCATCAAGGGGAGCATCGCATAACACCCACGTCAAGCGACACACTGCAACACTGGCCATCTAACCGCCAGGGCGGAGGAACGTCATGGCCCCAGACAGCGCATTACCTTGCCCTGGCTCTCCCTGGGCCGCATACCTGAGAAGCGGGGGATTTTGTCTGGTGAGAAGTGCAGGCTCGCTCTCCCTTTGACAGCTCAAACACAGCAGCTCGTTTGCAGTTCCAGTTACCCATCAAACATCGGCTAGAGGCTACAAAAGGTATTTTAGTCTTCTGACTCAAGTGAGGATGTTTGTAAGCAGTCGTTGCACAAGGTCACCCATCTCCTGCGAGGAGCGCTAGCCAAGCCCAGCCTAGCCTGCTCCGTCCCGTCTCACCTCCGGGCGAGGGGTGAGCCGCTGTCCCCGCTGCACGCCCAGAGTCCTCCTCGGGTGGGAACACGACGCAGCCTCGCCTGGTGAGGCTGGGGGCGGTGGGACAGGGCCTCCCACCCGCGGGCAGCAACTGGCGACTCACACCTCGCAGATGATCACCGGGAAATCCACGTGAATGCGAGGGTGCTCTAGTTTCACTATGCCCTGAAAGAAGAGTCAGAGTGGTGAGCAGAGGAGACCACCAAACAACGGCCCCAAGCCCTGCAAGTCACCCCATATGACAGAGGACACCGCGCCCTCGAGGAACAGGAGTCCCTAAGGCTGCTGTGATACCAGGTATGCCTGAACAGCAGCACGCAAAGCGAAAGTACTTTGCCCTTCGAACTCGTCCCTGGAGAGCCGAGGGCGGCGTGGCTGGCGGCCACACATGGCGGGTTTGGAGCTCAGCAGAGCGAGAAAGGAGGGAGCTGCTCTGCCAGGCACTGCCCGTGCAGCAGCTGGTGCGTGACTGGCAGATATTGGCCGTCTGGGCTTTTCATCCGGCACCTTTCATTCACGGGATTTAAAAGAATGAAAAGAGCTCTCTGAGAGAAAGCAGCCAGGGCAGCTGGCGCACAAGAAAAGCAGCTTTCTATCCAGAGGGGAGGCTGCTGAATGCACGCTCCCTCCACGCCAGCTACAGGCGCCTTTCCCATGCTCCGTCCAAGCCTTCTCCTGTTACAGCACCAGGACGACCCGATGGCAGGTGGGGGGGCTGGGGCTGGAGGGGAGGCTCGGGGCTGGGGCTGGACTCAGAGCCAGAGAAAAGCTTGGGCTAGCAAAGGGCTATTTAGTGCTGGTGTTTGCTGTCTCTGGCTCAGCCGAGCTTTCCAGCTAGGTGGGTTTCAACCCACAGTGTGGAGAGTTAGGAGACAGTCCCACAGCCAAAGCCTGCCTCTGAGAGAACCCCAGCCTGGGGAGCAGTGGCAAATTCTCCCCTCCCCCATAACTGTTTGCACAGCGCCCAGACGGGTCCCATCCCACTGGGGGACTGCTCACCCCTCGGAGCACACCAGGTGCTCACTAGAGCCATGCCTTTCTGCATACTTAAAAAAGACTCCTGCAGGGTCTCTCTCCAGCCCTGGTTTAATGCTCCCTTTTCTCCAGTTAGGCCCCCAGAAGCTTTCCTACATGCAGGCTATCCTTATCCTGCACTGAGACCCTTAACTGGTGGCCCAGCCGCTTCCCAGCTTCACCCCAGTTGCTTAAGAGGAGATTTTTGCACTGAGATGCAAAACACATAGCTGTCAACACCACTGTCACCACTGAGCAGCTGGGGGAAATGTGCTTTGGCTGCTGCTCCCGAAGCCAGGGCCTGGCCCTCCACAGCGATGTGACGTTGGCTGAGCAAGTGCAACACCCTGTGCCTTGGGGAAGGTGATCAGTGATGGGACACCACAGCAGTGCACGGTTGCCTGGCACTCTGCACCCCACAACACACATTCAGCTGAGCTATCTTCCCCAGCCTGGCAGCTCGCTCTAAAGCACTTGGGGCACTGCCTCTCTCTGGAAAGGGGGGCTGGAGGGTGTCACCAGCTCTCCTTCTTCTGCCACAGCCTCACTAGGTGACATGGGTGTGAGTCAGGACACACAGGGACCATGGCCCTGAGGCAGGGTGAGCAGAAAGCCTTCACTTTCACAACAAGAAGATGCCCCAGGGGAGAAGGCAAAGCCGGGACCTCAGCTGTCACCATGGTGCTTTGGCATTCACTCTCACCCACCCTTCTCCACACACTACCTGAGGTATCAGGTTCTTGTGGATCCTCTTCAGCTTGGCGCGCTTCCTCCCATTCTTGGTAACGATTGTCTCCTCGTAGAACTCGTGAGCGAGATCCCCATCCTCATCGTAATACATGGAGCTGCCGAGAGCAGAGGGGAGGTGGGGAGGTAAGAGCCTGCCGACAGCTGCCGGCTTCCCGCGCCCCGAGCAGGGTAGGCAGCCGGA